GGTATGTTCCATTTTAATTGGGTTTATGAAAGAGTCATTGACTGTGGTCCTTGTAGCTGGATGCCACCTGCTAGTGAGAAAGGGGATGTGTGTGTATTAGTTTTAAAATCATGTGCAAAGTAATTTTTATTTTTATTTTTTTTGCAAATGAACTCTTTTTTTTGGGTGACTATGATGGAAATTCTTGTTCTTGTTCTAGTTCTATTTCAGAGTAAAAAAAAAAAAAAAAACAAAACAAAACAAAGTCCAATAACCTAGTTGAATGTATGGAAGTAGAAATTTCTGAAATGGAAAATTTTGTTGTCCTCAGAATGAGAGAGCAATTCTGGCACAAACGAAGGCTTATGAGACAATGATGAAACTGGCTGATGAACAGAAGGTATGCTATTCCTCTTTTGCTTCAAGACACGTACTGGAAGCAAATTCAACGGAATGTTGGAAAGTTGGCAGTTATGGTAATGGCTTGCTTTTTATTTCAGAGAGAAAAGGAACAAGCATTGGACAAAATCTGTAGGCTTGAAAGAGAACTTGATCAGAAGCCAGGATTGGATTTGGAGATAGAGATGTATAAAGGTGCCTTTGAAATTTGGAGAAACATGAATGACATGATTGAAGGAGATTTGACACCTATAAGCAAATTGTTAGAAGAGCTGAAAGAAAAGGATGATGAACTTGATTATTTGGAATGCATGCATTATGAACTTACTATAGAGCATCAACGTGTCGATGATCAGGTGCAGGATGTCTGCAATGTGATGATAAATGTGAGCCTTCTATAAGATTTTTTTTTTTTTTTTTGCAACCTATATAATACATGATTTTTCTATAAACACATTAATGGCATGGTATAATTTCCTTTTTAACTGAACAATGATCAGAGTTTTTGGTGTTAGTTTTCAGTAATTTAATTATGTATGATAAGTGCCTGTTTGGGAAGATTGTATTATAAGTGCCTAAGTTGTTCTAAATGAAACTAATAGATACAAACTTACAAAGCTTGTATAAGCTTGTGGTCTAATGGCACCCAGGTTGGACTCCCATATGGAAGGTTGTGAGTTCGAGCCTCAGTGGAGGTGTTATTGGCTCTTTGTGTTTCAGTAGGTTGAGAAAGTATGAACAGATACAACATTGTAATAGAGTCAGTCATTAAAAAAAAAGATACAAACTTACAAAGCTTATTATCTACTTTCCTAAAGCATTTATAACTCAAAGCATGAAGTAAAAGGTAGTTCTCTGGTTCCTTACCCAATGTTATTCATTTTAACCAGTTGATGGTTATTTATGCAAACTCTATACTGAAGTGGAGTATTATTTCTTTCTGCGACAAGAATTGAGATCATTTATGTAGATGGTTGAAGAGTTGGAGGCTTATACAAATCAGGCAGGAAAGGGAAGTAATCAAATAAGCAGAATGCAAGGAGACATATAATAAGAGATTGACTGATTATGTAATTTCTTGCTTATTTTATGGAGAACGTAATTAGGGATTGATTGATTATCTAATGATGCTCCTTATTTTACATATGGTAATATATTATAAATAGCGGGACCACCTCTTAGAAGAGAGGGCATCCTGTGGAATTAGAACAATTAGCTCTAAGTAATGGGCAATAATTTATTCTTGTTGGACAAATATTCTTAGAATTTCCTTGTTTTCTTTCATTTCCGTTTTACTTTATAATATCACATTCTCTTAAATTTTTTGGTTCAAATTCATCCCGTGTCTTTACTCTTATTGATTTTAAGGTAGCTAACGAGTGTGTGCACCTGGTTGGAAACCCGTCCTTAACTCGGTTGCAAATCTCTTTTAGCTTTTTGGGAAAATTGGATGACGTGGTATTGAGCTGCCTACTTTGGGAACTTATTGTTTCGCCTTCAATAGACAATCATGCTCTTGATCTTACCGTTATCCAACACTCTCAACTGCGCAAGTTTCTAGATGAACATCGCCAAATCTTTGATGAGGAACCTCAGGGGCTTCCTCCCTCACAGCCAAATGATCACATAATTGTTTTGACAACAGGTTGTTCTCCGGTTAGTGTCAAGCCATATCGTTATAGTCATCATAAAAAAGATGAGAGTAAATGGCCAATGGGAGATTGAACAGTTAGTTTAGCAATGGATTCCTTCAACTTGATCAATCCTTGATCCATTTTAGTGAGTAGTGTTTCCTGACTCTTCTCTAGTGTTTGAACTCTCGAGTCCAATTGTGTCATGTTGGTTGGCACGTCGAAGCAATTGATAAGAGTAAAGGGACATGGTGATTGGTGGATTTGAACCAAGAAATTTAGGAGATTATGTTTTATAAAGTAAAACACAAATGAAAGAAAACAAGAAAATTCTAAGAATATCCCTCCAAGAAGAATAAATTCTTGCCCAAGGATAGTTTGAGATAGTTTATGTTGAGGGTTGAAGAGTTGGAGGTTTTAACTGGATGCTTGAACCTCTGGTGCATAATTGCTTAATTATCTTTGTTGTTTATTTGGTGTCAAATAACAGACATGGTTAATGGCTCTTCTCTCTCAGTCATCTCTCAACACTCTCTCAATCAAAGATTTGCCTTTGCTTTTTCGCTTCTTCTTCATCTAAATGACTTAGTTAAAATCAACAGCTTTTGCCAATTCTATCCCAATGTTCACTTTGAAGCAAGGTTGAAAAAATCGCTAGGCGCCCTCTAGGCGCCTGGGGACCGCCTAGGGCGCCTAGGTGGCCGACCACCTAGCGCCTAGGCGCGATTTTTGCAACATTGCTTTGAAGTTATAGGTTATGGTTGCTTAAATTAAATGATTGGTATGTGTTGCAGATAATTTATGGCAAAAATATGGAAGTATCCAGTTTATCTTAACATTCTTATGGTCTTTCCTATCTCTTTGGTTGAAAATAATATAATTGCTTTCTAGCTTCCCGAACTATAAGTTGTGATTTGGTTTCTATTATTGCATGCTTCTATAGAAATTAATGTTCCAAATTTTGGTTTTTTATGATAGGGCTTGAAGGACTCTCGTGCCAACATTTGTGTGAAGAGAATCGGAGAAATTGATGTGAAGCCAGTCATCCGTGCTGCAAAGCTAATATATCCAAAAGAAGAAGCACTAGATATAGCTTTTGAGCTGCGTTTCCTGTGGGAAGAGTACCTAAGGGATCCAGGCTGGCATCCATTTACGGTTATCGAGAATGGAAGAAAAGATGTAGGTATCTTTTTGAATATGTTGTTCTGTCTATCTACATGGACACTCTTTATGGAGCCCTGGTAGTTAATACAACTCTCCCCCTTTCCGCTCCTGCTAGCATCAAAACATAGGGCAGAAAATGAACACGAATAAATGGAACATTTGGTAGATATGTAAATTCAGTTTTCTAAACCCAAAGTATGAAGTTCTCATTTCTTAATTTGTGTGATAATTCATATTGAACTTTCAGGTGTGGGTGATTGATGAAGAAGATGGGAAACTGGTGGGTCTGAGGAATGACTATGGTGATGAAGTGTATAATTCTGCGACCACTGCATTGATGGAGTTGGATGAGTACAATTCCACCGGCAGGTATCCAGTGTCAGTGCTGTGGAATACTAAGGAGAAAAGAATAGCGGAATTGAAGGAAGGAATTGATCAAATACTAAAACAATTGAGGGGGCTTATGGGCAGGCAAGGAGCTGATCAAATACTAAAACAAATGAGGCGGCTTATGGGCAGGCAAGGATCCAGTGACAGAGATGCGTAGTTTGTCTCAATTTTGCTCTATCCGGTGCTAATGCCAGTAATAGAAGTATTTATTGGCTGTTTGGTAAAAACTTATAATTATGGATTAAGAATTTCGTACCAAGTTTTTGCTTAGTAGTAGCAAACTAGCAAGCTAAAATATGTGCACATTTGGTTACCAAGTATCGTTCCTAGCTTCTGTGTGGCCACTGGAAAGTAGTAGGTGTTGCACATTTGGTTATACTTCCAACATGTTCAAACAATGGTAATCCAAAGCCAAAAGCTTTCTTGACTTTGGGTTGCCAAGGATGGACCAACAGGTTATCAATGTAATTGTGCTCATGGAAAAATCTGTGCCCACCGAAGAAGATGGGTGGTTTGGGGTTCAGGGATCTACACAGTTTTAACAAAGTGTTGCTAGCCAAATAAGGGTGGCGCATTCTTACATCACCAGACAACCTTGTCGGAAGAGTATACAAAGTCAGATATTTCTCACAGTTTGGCAACTCCCGGAGCTTTTGTTGGCAAAGCATACTGGCAGGGTGGAGTCATTTTTTTTTTCAATGGGAGTAAATATTAAAATAAAAGAAATATTTTAAAAAATAAATAAAATAATATGATGCATAACTATAAATATTGTTGGATATTGACAAACAATAAAATACATCAAATTTTTATAAAAATAATCATACTTTGATAAAGTAATTTGAATATAAAACAAATTATAAATCACCAGGGGCGGATCCAAGGGGCGGATCCAAAAATCTTTGTGGTGAAGACCAAAGATTAAAAATCAATAAAATATTTTGAAAAAAAATACTTAGAGGTCGAGTAAAAAATATTGTTAATTAAAATAAAAAATTAAAATAATCAAAATGAGATTAAAAAAATATTCAAAACAAAATATAAAATATAATTAATTAAATAAAATAATTTGAATAGGAAATATATTATAAAATATTCATATCATCATTATTAATATTAAAATAATATGAAAAAAATACAATATTACAAATAAAATATTCACAAAATATTAAATATAATTAATTAATTAGATAAAAATTATACAAGTAAAAAAATGAAAGAAGATAACTTTATAAAGAATAAATCAAAATGTAGTGTCCAAATTATCATTTGAAATGTGTAGTACCTCACTACCTCTTCTAGTCGAGGCAAGTTTTCCAATGCCATACCCAAGTCGACCTTGGACGATCTCTCTTCCTTTCTATACAATCTCTCTACCTTCCTTCCTCCTGCTAAACCCTAACCACATTCCTTTTCTCGCCATTTTTTTTTTTTTTCAGTTGTTCAAAGCTTCAACTTAGAATATAAGAAGATAAGGGACCCCCAACAACCGAACCGGAAACTGTTAACACTTTGTTCTTTACTTATTTCTGAGCAGATGTTTCTAACTAATTGCATGTGATTAGCTTCTATTATTAATTGTTAAACAGAACTAAACATTCTTTGTTTCATTACAGGCGGACAATGCCTTACAGGAGAGAGGTCGAGCTGCATGACTGTAGTAATTCAAAACTGGAAGAGTTGAAATGCAGATACTATAAGGATTTGAGAGATGGAGAAGACAGAATCAGGGGATCGGGAAAGTATTTCCTGTGTCCATATTGTCAGGATAAGAGAGGTAATGAGTATGATATGCAAGGGCTCCTAAGGCATTCTTATAGGATAGGTTATGCTTCAAAGTCTTCAAGTTTGAGAGATAAGGCTAGACATTTAGGGTTGCTTAAGTATTTAGAGAGGCATAGATATGCTGAAAGTAATGCTAGGCTTCCATCGCCCAGTGATCCTTCTACCCAAGGAGCTGATGAAGAAACTTTTGTTTGGCCTTGGATGGGAATTGTTGCTAATATTCCTGTAGTATATAAGGATGGAAAGTTTGTTGATGAAAGTGGTCAAAAACTGAAAATGGAGTTGGTTGCCAAAGGATATAATCCAGTGAAGGTTTATACATTGTTGGCCAACAGGGGGTTTTCAGGATATGCCGTTGTTGAATTTAATTCTAACTTTTCTGGATTTGCAAATGCAATGGCATTTGCACAGGAGTTTGAACTGGATAAGCATGGTAAGCAAGAATGGTATTCAAGTTTGAAAGATGAGTCAGATGACAATCTTTATGCATGGATTGCTGGCAAGGAAGAGTACAATTCAAATAGTATTGTTGGGGATTATCTAAGGGGAAATGGAGATTTAAGAACCATTTCTGAGATCCAAAATGAGAATAGAAAAGAAAACTCCCAACTATTTTCCAACTTGGTCAATGAGTCGGAGTCAAAGTACAAGGAATGTGAAGAGACGGAGAAAATGATAAGTAAAACTGAAGTTTTAATGGGCAATGTGATGAAAGAAAAAGAGGAGATGCTCTCAGTGCATAATAAAGGTACATAAACTATGGTTGTTTTCATATCAACTAAATTGCATATCTACTTGTGTTATTTTCTTTTAATTATTTTGGTTATACTAATAGAAAGCAGTGTTGTAAAACTCGGCCTCGTCGGCGCTAGGCGGCGCCATGCCGTGCCGCTTTTGATTATAGTCGGTCATTACTCGGTCGGCCGCCTAGGCGGCCAACTCGGTCAAAATCGGCCAACTCGGCCGCGTCAATCGATTTCGTCCGATTTTGATCAATTTCATCTGATTTTGACTAATTTTGACCGATTTCGTCCCATGTTGTCTTTCATTAATTATTGATTTTAATATTATTATGATGTTATGACTTATAAATTATCGTTATTTCATTTATTTGGATGTGTTAATTGATTGAATGTTGAAAATAGTCTCATTAAAATTGTCAATCTACAAGTCTGTCACTATTTTTTTAAATTTTTTTAGTGCCCGCCTAGCGCCGCCTAGATTCCGTCTAGGCGCCGCCTAGGCGCTAGGCGCTGCCCGTTTGAAGAGATACTTGCCTGTTTGCCCTGTTTGAAATGCATATGTTACATTATAGTTCACTTATTTCTTTTTTTCACTAGAGTTGGAGATGATACATCAGGAGGCACTGAAACTGGTGGAAACCTTTTTGAGTGAGCAGGAGACAAGTAAACAACAATTGGATGATCATGAAAAAGAGCTGAACCTGCGAGAAGATGAAATAAGACAGTGTGAAAAACTTAATGAAAGTGAGAAAATGAAGCTTGACTGTGAGAAAGAAATGGTATGTTCCATTTTAATGAATGAGCTATGTTGGAGAAATGTCTCCCCCCTCCCCCCTTTCCCCTTTCCCCTTTCTCCAATTGTATATTATTAAAGGAGCAATGGATGGATGTGCAATTTTCATTTTCATTGCAGGAAATGCACAGGATGAAGGTTAAAGAAAAATTTGAAAAGTGTGTAAAAGAGAAATTGTTGGAAATCTGCAATATACTTGACATACCTATTGCCAAGGCTACATCAAAGAAGGTTTGTTGACTTTCTCCTACATGTTAGTTTTGAATACCATCTGTAGATAACCCTACCATTCTCAACAATTCCATAAAATAACTGTACTCTTTAGACTCCCAGGAAATACAAATATAGAGTAGATAAGATTATATTGTTCATCTTTTGGCAACTTGATTACTATTTTCTGTTTTGATAAATAGCAATTCCAAACCAATTCTGAAAACTGCAGCCTATGGGGTAAACCATCAATATTTGCTGTGTAATTTCGATGAACAGCCATCTAAGCAATCCCTTGAGGATTCATCAATTTATTTCTGAGGTGTTAATAGCCAACCTTTTTTTTGGGGGTTAATAACCCTGCAGGAAGATGTAGTTGTAAAGTTGATGGAATTTTTGGAGGCACCTCATGCTACGACTTCTGAACTGCTTGCTGAAAAAGGGCAGGTTCAACATGAAATTTTGAATATCTAATTTCATTTCTCTCTTCTATTCCTAATATATTCATATAATTCTTCTCTTTTGTTTAACAGTCAAGCAAGGGAAAGCGTAAGAGGGCTAGCAATAAAAGTGGATACTCTGCTTCTGGAAGTTCAAAAGGCTCAGCTAAGGTAATACTTGTTGTTAACAATAGCATTAAATGCAATGTTTAATAGCATAAGGTATAGATGAATGTTCAAATAATATGCTCCCCAAGTATAAATTTTGTCTGTCATGTAATGGCTATTATTTTCGTCATGAAACACTTGTACACTAAACTTTTGCTTGTCAACTGTTTTGCATAATTGCATATTATAGTTTCTATATCCATGCCCTGAGATTTGAAATGTTAAATCATCTTTTCTGAACTATGAGCTTTAAATTTTTGGTAAGCACACAGAAACTTGTGCTTGTCAAAATGTCAACTGTTTTGGCTCGTCACAATATCTATATCTGTGCCCTTAGATTTGAAACATTAACCCTCTTTGCTGAACTATGAACTTTAAATTTGTGTTAAGCACAAAAATACCATTCTTTGGAAAAAAGAAGGTAATCAAGTAGGGTGAACACTTTTTTCTATCATTCATTCATTCTGTATAGTTTTTGAACTATATTATATGGTAATATTGATGTTTATGATTTAGAAAACAATTCTTTGAATCATGAATTTTTTTAAATGGAACTGTGGTTCATGTATTTGTTTATGGAACAAACTCAAACTCAGTGATGCCCTTTGTCCCTGTAATCTCCTGTTTGCTGCCTGCCTGTCAGATCCACATCTGAGCAATGTACAGCTTATAATGGATTACTTGAATCCTTTTTTTACTCTCTCTCTCTCCCAACAATGGCGTTAGAGAGTGCATGTATCCACTAATAAGAACATTTGAAAAATCAGCTGGAAAATGCCAGAGACTTTGTGAATCTTCCATCTGAAATCTCTGCAGGGAATATCATTCTGGCTAAACTTCATCTGATATGGAAGTGTTAGCCTTTTCTGTTAAAAAAGTAAATAAAAATGAATATCCTAAGTTGTACATTTCTCCTCTCTTTATACTAGGCTGTACTTATCTTATTGTCCTATCTGAAAACTTGTTCTTCATCAACATTTCAAGATCAACCAAGTATAATATTTGCTTACTTTGCCTCCTTTGAAAGAAAAGGAAGATAACTTATTTTCAAACTTGAGAAAAGAACCTGAGATGGAATTGAATCAGATTTTGCAAATATGGCTAAATTTCTATGTAATATTAAATCAATTGTCTTGTTCTGCAGAGTCGCAAGACTGAGAGTGGATCTAAGAAGGGTGAGAAGAAGAAGGACATACATGAATCAGAAAATGAGTCAGAGGAAGAACCAGAACATGAAGAAAAAGCTAATGGTGTTTCCGACAGATCAGAGGATGAGATGTCAGACCATTCTGACAGTGATAAGAAAGATGATGATTCCGATGATGAGCCTGAGGAGGTTAAGAAAAAGAAACCAAAGTCAAAGAAGTCAGTACCAAAGGAATCTGAAGATGAGTCTGAGGAAGATAAGAAAAGTGAAGAACGTAAGTCAAAGAAGTCAGCATTAAAAGACTCCGATGATGAATCTGAAGAAGAAGAAGAGAAACTTAAGAAAAAACAGATCTCTAAGAAATCATCATCAAAGAAGGAATCTGCTAGAAAATCCAAGACCAAAAATTCCGCTACCCCAAAAAAGTCTACCCCACCCAAAAAGACTCCCACAAAGACATCCATTCATCCTAAAGTTAATGATGGTAATGATGCAAGTCCAAAAGCATCCTCAAAGAAGAAAAAAACTGAAGCAGCAAAAGAAAAATCCTCAAATTCAAAGAAGCCTGCTTCTAAAGAAAATAAAGGTAAAGAATGTAGTATTTTGCTACCATAATTTGCTTATCTAAGTTCAAACATGTAGTCTCATGTTAATATGATGAATACACATTAGTCGTTTCTAACCCTGTGCATCTACTGCCTTGTATTCTCATGTTCTTGATGTTGCTTTTAATCTTACCAAACTTTCAGGGAAAAAGGTTGTGAAGGCAAAGGATCAACCCAAGAAAGATAAAATAAAGCCGACTGATGATGAGCTAAGAGAATCAATTTGTGAAATCCTTAAAGAAGTTGATTTCAACACGGTGAGGATTGATGTTTATTATTTGTTGGGCTCATAGGATCTAATTTGCCATCCCTATTTTCCAAACATTTGATGTATTTAATTTTGACATCTGGTCATTCAACATGAGCTGTAACCAGCTTAATTCAGGCATGCTTAAGTTGCAATGGAGTAGCAAATTACAAATAATATCTGAATGAGTTGATTCCAAGTTGGTTATTATTGATGAAAATATGCATAGTTGGAAAAATTTAGTGTAGTGTGAAAATTGGATCTTGTTACAGCTGTCTGTGCATTAGATAAACATTCTTTGGTGATCTTTGAATATTGTTTTCCTACATCATATGTAGATTTGGAAATACTGTTGTTAGAATTAATGCATGCTTGGAATCATGTGTGAAAAGTAGGATCTTGCTACTACTATCTGCTTTCTGAATTTAAATATTTCTTGTGCATATATATGAGGACTGTTGTCCTGGATTTTGTTGTTTTGATGCATACACTTTGAACTTGAGAAATCCTTGATATTGACCAGTTCTGTTTGATATTGCAGGCTACCATATCAGACATTCTAAAGCAACTTGGTATGTTCTTCATAACCTCCACTTAGAGAAACTCCATTCCCCCTGCTGCCGTCCCCCCACAACCCCACCCCCACCCCAACACACACACATGCACACACAAAAACCCAAGAAAAGAGGAAAATACCTTAATAAAGATATGTTAACAAAGATCAGAAGACTGAATACTTTTTTCCATTTAGAATTGTTTGAAAAGTTTGTACAAGGTCTGCATTTGCATAAAATAGGTTATGCATCTATTGGTAAGAAATTGGAATTGAACTCGTCTCATCAATGCGCAACTGTCTTTTTTTTTTTTTTTTTTTTGGGCAGGCAAGCAGTATGATACAGACATCACACCCAGAAAATCATCAATAAAACATATGATCGAGGATGAGCTTACAAGACTAGCATATGAAGGAGATGACGAGGAAGATGAACTAGTGCTGTAAAAGGTGAAATGCAGGCTTCTTCTTGTCAAGGTGCGGAGACCTGAAAACGTGTCTCCCACACATCCCTTGCTCCATGTTGTGTAATGTTGTCCACCCCCCCCCCCACTCTTGTATTTTGCAAATGCTGTAATAATCAGGATACCCACCCTTACTTTTGAAGTTCTCTAGCTAGATTAATGCAGCATCATGCATGTTTGGATTGATCATATTTGAAACTTCTTGTCATCGTTCAAGATTTGAATTGTGTGTAGATATTTTATGGAGTGAAGCGTGCAGACAGACAGAGATAAGTATAATAGTTGACTGGACAAGCATGTATTGGATTTTCAGGTGAGTTCTACATGGACTCCTAAATCTTATTACTTAAATTTTACTCTCTGATGTGGCGGATATACTGATAGGTTACTTTTTCATGTGAGTCCCAATACAAATGTCTACATCAAGATTTTGTGTGGGAGTAAATGTTGGGAGTAGAAAATGGGAGTACATGTAGTATTTTCCTTTTGAGGTTGTCTAAATCATCCACAGCAAAAGCCGACATTTCATTCATTGGCAATTTATATCGTGAACCAGGGTCTATAATGCATTGTGGACCCTGGTCTAATACACATAATTTGATTTTATAATGTACAAAATTTATGTTCATAATACACATACAATATAATGAAGACACATAAACATTTAACATAATACACAGAATTCATATTCATAATGTACAAAATTGATGTTCATCATATCATGTTTATGTGTATTATGAACATAAATTCTGTACATTATGAAGTCAAATTATGTGTATTGAATCGGAGTCCACGATATAACGATTACAGGTTGCAATGTGGATTGTTTATATTTCAACAAACACCAACTTACCATTCCTAATTGTTTAACATACACCAAGTTGGCATCCTAAGTGGTGGCAAATTATATTGTGGACCGTGATTCACATTATGATAACGGTTTATTTTTAATATATTGAATATTTATTTATTTTAATATATTTTAAAGATATTTGAGTTGTAAGCAGGAATTTTAAATAACATAAAAAGGCAGCAAGTAATACTTGATCAATGTATAAAAATGAGTTAGTTAGTAAATTGGACAAAAGAAATAGAAAGATGAAATATCAAATATTGAGTTAGAATATGGTTAGTTTAATGTCACTAAATCTTTTAGTATCATAAAATATGTAAGAAAATTTTAAAGTGTCAATGGACATTGTTGAGGGGATTTTATTTATTTATTTTTCGATAGGCTTTTAGAGATGTGAAAGAGAAAAGATATAGGAGAGAAATGTTGGGGTTATGTTATTTGGGAATTTTTTTGTCCAACAACATTTTTCATATTATAAAAAAAACAGTTAAAAGTCACACGTGGGCGCATGATAGTAATTAACCAACCTACTATACTGATGAGATAGAAAAAAAATAAACTAAACCCACATTCTACTAAGAATCATGCTAGGCTCTCCTCCATTTTTCATAACATTTGTTTTATTGCATGATGTGAAGGTGTTTCTCACCAATAAAAATGCATTGACTATTCAACATTATTTAATTTAGTGGGCCATTTTTACTTAGTATTATCAAGAGGAAGGTTAAGAGGTGAAAATGCGGGAATATAATATTTTTCTTTTACTAAATGTGTTTTTTTTGTTTTATTTTTTTAAAAATGTGATTTTTTGGCACCGTTTTGATAATTGAGGAACAACATTTACACCAATCATAATTTAGGGGTGACATTGATAATTGACATATTATAGAGGGGTATTTTTTACAATTTTCCCTATAATATATTTGAGATCGAACCACTTCTTGTCCCTACAAAAATCATACAATTTATAACCCTATTTTTGTGTGTGTGTGTGTGTGTGTGTGTTTTTTTTTTTTTTTTTTTTTTTTTTTTTTAAATCAACTCACCACAAAATATCATATAAGAATGAGTGTGTGTGAGTGGTAAATGTAGGGGAATGCAGCAAGGTCTTAAAAACTCTAAGGGGGTGTTTGGTTGGATGAAAAACATTTTTCATGGAAAATGTTTTCCTAACCGTGAAAGAAAATGATGTTTTATGTTGTTTGGTTGGATGAAAAACATTTTTCATGGAAAATGTTTTCCTAACCGTGAAAGAAAATGATGTTTTATGTTGTTTGGTTGGATGGAAATTTTTTTCATAAGAATGAGGAAAACCAATTCCTAGCTCATCTTAAGTATTTTGTTTTCCATGAAAAAGTTTTTTCATGCGAAACTAATATGACAATTTACGCTCATTCTTTATTAATTACTTTTATTATTATTACTAGTATTTCTTTATGCGCGATGCGCAAAAAATAGGTGCCCGATATTTAACATTATATTAAAATTTTAAATTTATTTAGATTTTAGTTATTAAAATTATTCTAAATAATAATAATGTAAATCATTTTTATAAATTTGATATTTATATTTTACGTAATAATTAACGTATAACTCAAATATATAATGTGTATATTATTATATTAATGAAGAAAATATATGGTGGATGTATGTGCATAGTAAGAATAGTGGAAAAGATAACGGAAGTTATAACAGTAGGGGTATGTTTGTCCAAAATATCCTTTATAGCATAATGTACAACAAAACTTAACGGAAAAAACGGACATAAATGAGGGGTATAATTTTCATTCACACTTATTATGTTTTTAGATTTTAGATAATATTATTGTTTTGTAGGATTATATTTATTATTATACTCATTATTCCTTATCATTTCAAACTCAACCAAACAATGAAATTCATATTTCCAATAATTTATTTTTCACCGACCAAACAATGGAATCTATTTTTTTGAAATTTATTTTTCATGAAATTTCAATTCCATTTCTATTCAAATATTTTCTAGTGAACCAAACAAGCTGTAATATATTTATTTATTCAAGTGTCTTTGTTTGGACTAGAGAGCTGGAAAACATTTTGAGTGGGCCGATGATGCAGAAGAAAGAATTGGAACTTCTGGACACCATTTTTGGTGTATGCAAGACAAGTGAACCACTATTGGATGATCAACTAAAAGATTTGAAACTGCGCGAAGATAAACTAAAGCAGCTTGAAAAACTGAATGAAAGTGAGAAAAGGAAGCTTGACCGTGAGACACAAATGGTATGTTCCATTTTAATTGGGTTACGTTTCTGAAATGTGGTTAGTGAGAAGGCGTGTGCATGTATGTATGTATATATATATATATATATATATATATATATATATATATATATATATATATATTTTAGTTTGAAAATCATGGGCAGAGTGAAATTTTGCAAATGAACTCTTAAGTTTTAGGTGACCACATGCTTGTAGTTGATGTTCTTGTTCTATTTCAGAGGAAAAAATGAAATCTAATAACCTAGTTGAATCCCGGTGTCAACAACTAGAGGGATGTCAGATCTATCATTATTTCAAATGGGTGGTCACAAGATGAACATTGATTCTTTAGACTAAAAAAGATTGAGAAAGTATATAACAGATACTACTTTGTAAAGAATGTTTGGAACTAGTAATTTCTGAAACGGAAACCTATATTTTCCTCAGAATGAGAGGGTAATTCTGGCACAAATTAAGGCTTATGAAACAATGATGGAAATTTCTAAATACCAAAAGGTATGGCTATTCCTCTTTTGCAGGCACTGGAACCAAATACAATGGAAGCTGGAAAGTTGGCAGTTCTAATGGCTTGCTTTTAATTTCAGAGAGAGAAGGAGCTTGCGTGGGAGAAAGTTATTGTGCTGCAAAGAGAGCTGGATCGGAAGCAAGGATTGGAGATGGAGATAGAGACCTTAAAACACGACATCAAAGTGATGAGACAGATGAACGAGAAAAGGGATTTAGTAACTAAAATGAAATTGACATCAATTGAAGAAGAGCTGAAAGATAAGCAAGAAGAACTTGATTACTTTAAAAACATATATAATGAATTTATTAAAAAGCAACGGTGTGACAATGATCAGTTGCAGGAGGCTCGGAAAGCGTTGATCAATGTGAGCCTTCTATACAATTTCTTTTGTTCATGCTATATAATACATGGTTTCTTATAAAAAAATAATAGTTGCATCATATAATTTCCTTTTAACTGGATGTTTTAACCGAACAATGATCAGAGTTTTTGGTGTTATTTTTCAGTATTTGATTATGTATGGTAAGTGCCTAAGTGGTTCTAACTTCTAAATGAAACTGATAGATACAAAGGGCTTATTACTCTAGGGTATCATCTACTCTGCTTGTCTGCTAAAGCATTTATAACTCAAAGCGTGAAGTAAAAGGTAGTTCGCTGGTTATTCCTTCCTCTGTAAACAAATTGAAAGCACATCACATGATAATTACATACACATAAGCTTTTAACTGCAGGTACATAAACTGGTTAACATGTTATGTCTCTGCAGTTAACATATTCTTGATTGCTGGCCCGGGGGCCTTTGCGTTTTGTCTGGGCCTTGTTCTCTGGTCCTTCATGCCCACTCAATCTTTCGTGTCTTGGACCTTGCTCCCCTGGCACCCCGCACTTGGCTTTTCTTCTTAGGCCGGACTTGATATATCCATCATTACTTTTTTGCAAATGAACTCTTAGGTTTAGGTGACCATTCATGTTGTTCATGTTCTTGTTCTATTTCAGAGGAAAAAATGAAATCTAATAACCTAGTTGAATGTTTGAAAGTAGTCATTTCTGAAACGGAAAATTATATTTTCCTCAGAATGAGAGGGCAATTCTGGCACAAAAGATGGCTTATGAGACAATGGTGGAAACTGCTAAAACCCACAAGGTATTCTATTCCTCTTTTGCTTCAAGACAGGCACTGAAACCAAATATAATGGAATGCTGGAAAGTTGGCAGTTCTATTTGGCCTGCTTGCTTTTAATTTCAGAGAGAGAAGGAACTTTCGTGGGAGAAAGTTATTGTGCTGCAAACAGAGCTTGATCGGAAGCAAGGATTGGAGATGGAGATAGAGACCTTAAAACACGACATCAAAGTGATGCGACAGATGAACGAGAAAAAGGATTTAATGGCTAAAATCAAATTGACATCAATTGAAGAAGAGCTGAAAGATAAGCAAGAAGAACTTGATTACTTTAAAAACATATATAATGAATTTATTAAAAAGCAACGGTGTGACAATGATCAGTTGGAGGAGGCTCGGAAAGCGTTGATCAATGTGAGCCTTCTATACAATTTCTTTTGTGCATGCTATATAATACATGGTTTCCTATAAAAAAAATAGTTGCATCATATAATTTCCTTTTAACTGGTTGTTTTAACCGAACAATGATAAGAGTTTTTGGTGTTATTTTTCATTATTTGATTATGTATGGTAAGTGCCTAAGTGGTTCTAACTTCTAAATGAAACTGATAGATACAAAGGGCTTATTACTCTAGGGTATCATCTACTCTGCTGGTCTGCTAAAGCATTTATAACCCAAAGCATGAAGTAAAAGATAGTTCGCTGGTTATTCCTTCCTCTGTAAACAAATTGAAAGCACATCACATGATAATTAAATACACATAACTACAGACACATAAGCTTTTAACTGTAGGTACATAAACTGGTTAACATGTTATGTGTCTGCAGTTAACATATTCTTGATTGCTGGCCCGGGGTCCTTTGCATCTTGTCCGGGCCTTGTTCTCTGGTCCTTCATGCCCACTCAATCTTTCGTGTCTTGGACCTTGCTCCCCTGGCACCCCGCACTTAGGCTTCTCTTCTTAGGACGGATTTGATATATCCATCATTACTTTTTTGCAAATGAACTCTTAGTTTTAGGTGACCATGCTTGTAGTTCATGTTCTTGTTCTATTTCCGAGGAAAAAATGAAATCTAATAACCTAGTTGAATCCTGGTGTCAACTACTATGTAGAGGGATGTCAGATCTATCATTATTTCAAATGGGTGGTCACAAGATGAACACTTGATTCTTTGGGCTGAAAAAGATTGAGAAAGTATAGAACAGATACTACCTTGTAAAGAATGTTTGAAAGTTGTAATTTCTGAAACGGAAACCTATATTTTCCTCAGAATGAGAGGGTAATTCTGGCACAAATTAAGGCTTATGAAACAATGATGGAAATTTCTAAATACCACAAGGTATGGCTATTCCTCTTTTGCAGGCACTGGAACCAAATACAATGGAATGCTGGAAAGTTGGCAGTTCTAATGGCTTGCTTTTAATTTCAGAGGGAGAAGGAGCTTGCGTGGGAGAAAGTTATTGTGCTGCAAAGAGAGCTGGATCGGAAGCAAGGATTGGAGATGGAGATAGAGACCTTAAAACACGACATCAAAGTGATGAGACAGATGAACGAGAAAAGGGATTTAGTAGCTAAAATGAAATTGACATCAATTGAAGAAGAGCTGAAAGATAAGCAAGAAGAACTTGATTACTTTAAAAACATATATAATGAATTTATTAAAAAGCAACGGTGTGACAATGATCAGTTGCAGGAGGCTCGGAAAGCGTTGATCAATGTGAGCCTTCTATACAATTTCTTTTGTTCATGCTATATAATACATGGTTTCTTATAAAAAAATAATAGTTGCATCATATAATTTCCTTTTAACTGGATGTTTTAACCGAACAATGATCAGAGTTTTTGGTGTTATTTTTCAGTGTTTGATTATGTATGGTAAGTGCCTAAGTGGTTCTAACTTCTAAATGAAACTGATAGATACAAAGGGCTTATTACTCTAGGGTATCATCTACTCTACTTGTCTGCTAAAGCATTTATAACTCAAAGCGTGAAGTAAAAGGTGGTTCGCTGGTTATTCCTTCCTCTGTAAACAAATTGAAAGCACATCACATGATAATTACATACACATAACTACAGACACATAAGCTTTAACTGCAGGTACATAAACTGGTTAACGGCCCTGTTTGGTAAAATGGCTGTTAGCTGATTGTGTTAATTAGAGGGTATAAATAGTTAATAACATTAGCTGATTGTAGAAAAGTGTTTGGTAAATTAGCTGTTAGCTGATAGCTGTTTGGTATAATTTCTTTTCTCAAAAAGTAATTGAAAAAGTTGCTTGGAGTAGCTTTTTGAATTTTAGCCTTTTGGAGTTGCAAAAAGCTAATTAACCAAACATTTATATTGATATTTTAACTAAATCAAACAATTAATAGTTGTCAAATAAGCCAAAATTGGCCTATAGGCCAATTTTTTACCAATCAGGGCCAACATGTTATGTGTCTGCAGTTAACATATTCTTGATTGTTGGCCTGGGGTCCTTTGCATCTTGTCCGGGCCTTGTTCTCTGGTCCTTCATGCCCACTCAATCTTTCGTGTCTTGGACCTTGCTCCCCTGGCACCCCGCACTTAGGCTTTTCTTCTTAGGCCGGACTTGATATATCCATAATTACTTTTTTGCAAATGAACTCTTAGTTTTAGGTGACCATTCATGTAGTTCATGTTCTTGTTCTATTTCAGAGGAAAAAATGAAATCTAATAACCTAGTTGAATGTTTGAAAGTAGTCATTTCTGAAACGGAAAATTATATTTTCCTCAGAATGAGAGGGCAATTCTGGCAAAAAAGATGGCTTATGAGACAATGGTGGAAACTGCTAAAACCCACAAGGTATTCTATTCCTCTTTTGCTTCAAGACAGGCACTGAAACCAAATATAATGGAATGCTGGAAAGTTGGCAGTTCTACTTGGCCTGCTTGCTTTTAATTTCAGAGAGAGAAGGAACTTTCGTGGGAGAAAGTTATTGTGCTGCAAAGAGAGCTTGATCGGAAGCAAGGATTGGAGATGGAGATAGAGACCTTAAAACACGACATCAAAGTGATGCGACAGATGAACGAGAAAAAGGATTTAATGGCTAAAATCAAATTGACATCAATTGAAGAAGAGCTGAAAGATAAGCAAGAAGAACTTGATTACTTTAAAAACATATATAATGAATTTATTAAAAAGCAACGGTGTGACAATGATCAGTTGCAGGAGGCTCGGAAAGCGTTGATCAATGTGAGCCTTCTATACAATTTCTTTTGTGCATGCTATATAATACATGGTTTCCTATAAAAAAAATAGTTGCATCATATAATTTCCTTTTAACTGGTTGTTTTAACAGAACAATGATCAGAGTTTTTGGTGTTATTTTTCAGTATTTGATTATGTATGGTAAGTGCCTAAGTGGTTCTAACTTCTAATGAAACTGATAGATACAAAGGGCTTATTACTCTAGGGTATCATCTACTCTACTTGTCTGCTAAAGCATTTATAACCCAAAGTATGAAGTAAAAGGTAGTTCGCTGGTTATTCCTTCCTCTGTAAACAAATTGAAAGCACATCACATGATAATTACGTACACATAACTACAGACACATAAGCTTTTAACTGCATGTACATAAACTGGTTAACATGTTAGGTGTCTGCAGTTAACATATTCTTGATTGCTGGCCCGGGGTCCTTTGCATCTTGTCCGGGCCTTGTTCTCTGGTCCTCCATGCCCACTCAATCTTTCGTGTCTTGGACCTTGCTCCCCTGGCACCCCGCACTTAGGCTTCTCTTCTTAGGACGGACTTGATATATCCATCATTACTTTTTTGCAAATGAACTCTAAGTTTTAGGTGACCATGCTTGTAGTTCATGTTCTTGTTCTATTTCAGAGGAAAAAATGAAATATAATAACCTAGTTGAATGTTTGAAAGTAGTCATTTCTGAAACGGATAAATATATTTTCCTCAGAATGAGAGAGCAATTCTGGCACAAAAGAAGGCTTATGAGACAATGGTGGAAACTGCTAAAAACCACAAGGTATTCTATTCCTCTTTTGCTTCAAGACAGGCACTGGAACCAAATATAATGGAATGCTGGAAAGTTGGCAGTTCTATTGCCCTGGCTTGCTTTTAATTTCAGAGAGAGAAGGAACTTTCGTGGGAGAAAGTTATTGTTCTGCAAAGAGAGCTTGATCGGAAGCAAGGATTGGAGATGGAGATAGAGACCTTAAAACATGACATCAAAGTGATGAGACAGATGAACGAGGAAAGGGATTTAGCAGCTAAAATGAAATTGACATCAATTGAAGAAGAGCTGAAAGATAAGCACGAAGAACTTGATTACTTTAAAAACATAAATAATGAATTTATTATAAAGCAACGGTGTGACAATGATCAATTGCAGGAGGCTCAGAAAGCGTTGATCAATGTGAGTTTTCTATACAATTTCTTTTGTGCATCCCTATATAATACATGATTTTCTATATATATATATATATATATATATATATATATATATATATATATATATATATATATGAAAGAAAAAGAATGGAAGTATACGGTTTATTCTTAAACATTCTTATGGTCTTGTCCATCTCTTTGGTTTGAAAATAATATAATTGATTTTCAGCTTCCTAGGCTATTCATTCTGTTTTGGTCTTTGTTATTGCATTCTTTTATGGCGACTAATGTTCCAAGATTTGGCTTTTTACCATAGGGCTTGAAGGATGCCCGTAGCAATATTTGTGTAAAGAGAATGGGAGAACTTGATGGGAAGCCATTTATCCGTGCTGCAAAGCAAAAATATTCAAAAGAAGAAGCACCCGGAAAAGCTTTAGAGCTGTGCTCCCTGTGGGAAGATCACCTAAGGGATCCACACTGGCATCCATTTAAGGTTGTCAAGAATGGAGAACAGCATGTGGGTAACTTTTTTAATCTGTTGTTTATCTCTCTATCTCATGCACACTACACACTGGTATACACATGGACACTCTTTGAACCACAGGTTGTTAGATATAAATATACTAACATAAACTTAAAAGAAACTTAAGTCACGAAAAGCTTGACCTCGTAGTAATGAAAGCTTTAGAACGATCTCGTCATAGTTGATATCACCATTGGAATAGTAGACCTACACAGAAACGTTAGTCGTTTTGTCTACTACTTCTCTCCTGAATACTAGATAGTGTAGTGTATTCTGATTACATGAGTTGTGGGAAGACTGGTTTTCTTAGAAGCCTATGTGTCATCATGATAGACAGATATTTAGTTAAAGTCAAACTGAATATCTAAATTACTGACTAAACCACTTAAATAATACTCCGTATTTAATATATTATATTATACTAAATGGAAAAATTTTACACTGGTAGGCAATACAGCTCTCCCTCCTCTTTCCTCTCCTGCTAGCATCAAAGCACAGGGGAGAAATTTAACACCAATAAACAGATTATTTTGTAGATATGTAAGTTCAGTTTATTAAACCCAGACTGTGAACTGTGAAGTTCTCATTCTGTGGTATAATTCAATTTGAACTCTCAGGTGGGGGTGATTGATGAAGAAGATGAAAAACTGGTGGGTTTGAAGAACGAGTATGGTGATGAAGTGTATGTATCTGTGACCACTGCATTGATGGAGTTGAACGAGTACAACTCCAGTGGCAGGTATCCAGTGCCAGAGCTGTGGAATTCTAAGATGAAAAGAAAAGCAGAACTGAAGGAGGGAATAGAGCAAATATTAAAACGATCGAGGAGGCTTAAGAATTGATTAATAGAAAGAGGCAGCACTTACAGATAAGTACTTATCTCCCTTTGTGTTTTTCCTAAATTTTGGGTATGCATGAAGTATGCAGGTTTAGTAGTAATCTTTCAGGACAACGTCATGATCCCTGATAATTGATGAACAAGATATGGAGTAATGTTAAGATTTTTGGTGCTATGTATTATGGAATATATAAGTAATTTGAAATCTATATATATTAGGCTAGGATTTTGAGTTAAGTAGTCATAAGAAAATTTGTTTCCTTATTAAAGATCTTCTAGCATGTATTTATAGGGTTGTGTATTCTCCTTTTTATAAACCTTCTATTCACTTTTGTACAATATATTTTTTCTAATTCCTTGATTCTTTATCTCTCTTTCGCCTAACTGGCGGGTAGTTGCTATTCTCCATCCGTCAGGCCTTTGGATCTTTCAAATTCAACATTGCGTTTGGATTGCTATATCGTTATGTAATATTTCGACTTTGGATTTGGACTGTGATGTTTGATAGTGTGTTTGGAACTGTAATGTTTAGACTTTGGATTTGGACTATGATGTTTGGTAATGCGTTGAATTTGTAATTTTGTTATGTAATGTTTAGACTTTGGTAAGACGTGGAATATTTGAAATATGCATTATTGGTTATATTGGTTATTTCACTTATTTGGTTTGTTTGTATTTTAAATTTTAAATTATCAGTAAAAATACATAAATAATTATTTGCCCTAGAAAACTAGGAAAGATTGGGAATTGTGGTTCTTAAACCAAATCAAACCAATTTTAAACGAAACCAGACTTTTTCAAATAGAGCTGAACTACAATGTTAAATCAATTTTTTTTTTTTTTTGACTGAACTAATTGAAACTGAACCAAATACCAAAACGCACACCCCTAGTTTATCCGTCTTAGTTAACTTCATTCACTCAATCCAGTGCTAATAATAAAAGTAAAAGTATGTCGCCCACACGAGTGGCTCAGTTAGTTTCTGAATGGTAGATTGTGGGCAATGACGTAGGATTGAGTCCGGACAATTGCAGTGTGAAAGTAAAGTTGTTATACCATGGTCCACCTTGCAAGGTGGACCCTGGTCCTAAACGACGTATAAATTGTGTACTTTTAGTATTGGAATTGTAAACTTCTAGAGTATAAATTGTGTTTCTAATTTGTGTTACTGCAATATTTGAAAGGAGCTTGTGAATACAAAACAATGTAATCAATTACATATATGTTGACATTGTGTGTTCATAGTATACAAATTGTGAATTTTTAAAAGGTAAATTATGAACATTTGGAACCGGGTCCACATAATAATTTGCCGTGAAAGTTTTACCCTCTTGTGAAAGTGGCTCATCGTAATTTATCTCTCCTCAATCCTGTGATACGTGTCTTACTAGTTAAGATATGTCTCTTGACTCTTGACTGTTTTGTAAAAACTTATGAATATTGTACAGTGTATTTGCTCAATAGAAGAAAGCTAAAATATGTGCGTGACTAGCGATCAATAATGTTATGGCTACTATAAGTACGGAGTATCATTCTTTCTGTGTGGACACTTCTCACTTGGTTTGCTGTGAAACAAGCTATGCTATACAGTTCATATTTGATCATGTTTTGTAACATATTTAATCTTTATTTTATACTTAATGTGAAAATATGTTTGAAAGAATCTTTATTTGCTTCATTAATTTGATCAATTAAATACAAATTCTTTTATTTAAGCAAGAATGGTTGATTTTGCATATACTTTGGACGAAAATTGAGTCGAGTAGATTGTTTGAGGAAAAAAAAAGAAGACAAGAAAGTGACGTTTAGAGAGTCTAAAAGTGACGTTTTCAATAGTCTTAGGGCATCCTCATTAGAAAATTTAGTACACTTCTAAAGAAAAAGTTAGATGATGTGGATGAGAGAGTACAAGGAGAGAGCAAAAATGAGTGCCTCCTGCAAATATGGAGTTTTTATCAAATAGTGGACTCCACCACTGAAGAGGGAAGTTGCACCTCACCACGCGTGAGGTGCAACTCTCACGCCCGGTTGAGCGCGTGTCTAGGTGTGTAAATATGTTTTTTTTTTTTTTAAATTTTTAGATATTATTTATTTTTTCTCTCTTTCCATTTTATCTTTCCTAGTCACACCTGCAAAAACTCCTCAAAATTCTCACACTATTGAGGATGCTCTTATTGATCATTTGACAAATCAAGGCAAAAGTAGAGTAAAAAGGGCATGAAGTTACATTTCTTGCTCAACGTGATTATTGTTCATTATTTTGATCATTTCTCAGCTTAGTAGTGTCCAAATTAAGAGATTTTTGCGACATAGGAGAGCCAACTTTCATGACTACAACTTTCGTGAAGATCATCAAGTGAAATTACACTTCATTTTTTTTAATTGAATAGTCCAATTATATTTTTGTGTGTAATTGAGTAGTTATATATATTGAACAATTTTCCTTTTTAGTATACTAAAAGTTTTTTTTTTTTTATATATAGATATTATACTAAAAATAATATTGTATCGTAATATACTGAACTTGCTAAAAATGAATATGTAGTACGGTAAAAATGAACACGCAATATTAAAAAAAGATTTGGCATTGGTTGTAGGTTGAGAATAAATAGATCATCCCTTATATATTCGAGACATTTATACTGCATACTTATCAACTCTAGCAACGTGATCTGATCACTAAAGAGTTGATTGAATTCTCAATCAATTTGTACTCATTTTAACAATATAAAAATTATTATTACTCTGTACCTCATAATATGGTTTACATTATCGTTGAGTTGAGTACCACGGAGTATTTTTAAATTATTAGTAACAAATAAATAGTATTAAAAAATCCTGAAAAAAAATACAAAGTGAGGAACCTCAACACAACAAGCGTTTCACTATAAATTTTAAGACATTTCAAACTTTCGACTGATCATCTAAACAACATTGATTTAAGCCTTAACCCACCATCTTAATTATGAGAAAAGTGAAAATTCTTCATGTAAAATAACTCATTATGTGGTCAACCAATTAAAATTTAGGCTTTGTTTTCAACGGTATGATATAATTTAACAAAATCCAATACACTAGGTTACCTTGATGTGTCTATAATATTTCACGCGCTTTAGAATTTTTAGTTTTTGATTTTTTCATTTTTTTAAATGAATAAATAAAGATTTAATTTCATTTTTATCATAAATTTATGGGTGACATTCCACTTTTAATATTTTTTTTTCAAAATATTCCCGCTATTGCTGGGAATGATATATTTTTTTTTTATCCTACGTCAATAAACCTATTTAAATTGCGTTAAATATATGGTCATTTCAGTCTATTAAATTATAAATGTTGATTTCTTTTTTTTTATCTTAAATTTATGTGTCATTTCACTATTGCGTAGGCGCATATTACAATTAAAGAAGACATGAAACCTTAGCAGTGAATTAAGGATTTAAAAAAAGATGGTCAACCCATTATATAAAACAATCAAAATGTCCTTGTATTTAATGTTATTTAAATAAGTTTGTTGATGAGTGACAAAAATGATCATATCACAATAAAATACTAAGACCGATAGAAAAAAAAAAATTAAAAGTGAAATCACACTTAAAATTTAGAAGAAAAATAAATTTAACTCTATCTATCTATTTATTATTATTTAAAAAAAAAAAAAAAAAAAAAAAAAAAAGAAGAGAGAGAGAGAGAATCAACAGAAAACCGGAAATTCTAAAGCGCGTGAAATATTATCGCCACGTCAAGTAACCCAAAATAGCAAATTTCGGAAGAAAGAGAGACGGAAAATGCCAGTTTTCCAATGCTGGTTTACTGGCTCCTGAAATGCATATTTTCTTCAATCTCTCTTTCATTTTCTAAAATCTCTCTACCTTCCTCCAAAACCCTAACCAAGTTCTTTTTCTCGCCATTTTTTTCTGTTACATACTTCCCATTTTCACCTGACATTATCGCACACAACCTTGATCTTCCGGTTTTGAGTAGTTTCATCTTTTTTTTTTTTTTTTGTCAAGACGATCGTTTCAGAAGTTTGGGGGTGTGCCGCTGTGGTGTTTGAAACTTCGAAACCGGGATTCTACAGAAGCAAAGAGTACGTGATCGTTGTATATATACACACATTTTCATAATACTCACTTATTTTGCTATGATATGTTCAGTGCTCAGTTTCTTTTCTTTTGATGGCTGGAAGTGTTCGATATGCGCGTGCTTTCATGAATGTTGTTTGTTCTTCAAGTGTGTATGTGTTGGGAGTTGGGATGACGGAGATATAAAATACATGTTGGTTGGTATTTATGAGTAGTTGAATTTTGTGTGTGTGTGTGCGCGTTTTATTGTAGCTGATACGTTTGGGGAGATTGCAAAAGTATCGTGATACACTCAATAGGAATAGAAATAATTCTATTATTAGAATGAGATGAACATTATAATAGGTTATTATTATATTATTATTATTTTTGAGTACTAATGACTCTGTTACAATATAGCAGGTGGTATACAAGATCTACATTAAATGATTCTTTCATAAATCCAATTAAAATGGAACATATCTTCTTTCTCAAAGTCAAGCTTCCTTTTTAGTTCTCTGAATCTGAATTCCAGAAATATCTCTGTAGATTCTTTTGAATTTCTCAGGATATGCCTATAACATAGCTACTCTTGTTAACACTGATTTCTGCTATTTGGGCAAGGACAGACATCTTATGTATATCTCTCTACATGTTTTTGTTACATGTGCACTTACAGTTCTATTTAATGGTTTCTTTCCCACTGTGTGGCAATTTAAATGTCAATGTTTTAGACAAGTTGAAGTCTAATCCACCATCACTGTGATTTGAGAATTGGACATGTTTGTGTTATGAGATCAAGAGGTTCTATAGAAATTGCTCATGTTTGACCACTTCCCTTTGCTTCTTAGCTTTTTGCAGTTGTTCAAAACTTAAGTGAGAATTTAAGGAGCTAGGGACAACTGAACATGAACCTGTTTTCCTGCTAGCTGTTAACACTTGATTTTTTATTTATTTCTGAGAAAATGTTTCTAATCAAATGCATGCAATTAGCTTCTATTATTTATTGTTGAACTGAACTAAACATTCTTAATTTCATTGTAGGTAGACAATGTCTCACAGAAGAGAGTTCAAGCGTGACCGTAGTGATTCAGAATTGGAAGAGTTGAAATATAGATACTATAGATATTTGAGAGATGGAGAAGTCAAAATCAGCAGATCAGGAAAGTATTTCCATTGTCCATATTGTCAAGATAAGAGAGGTAAGGAGTATGATATGCAAGAGCTCCTTAGGCACTCTTATCGGATAGGTAATGATTCAAAGTCTTCAAGTTTGAGAGACAAGGCTAGACATCTAGGATTGCATAAGTATTTAGAAAGGATTAGAGATGATAAAAGTGATGCTAGGAATACAGATGGTAAAAGTGATGCTAGGAATACAGATGATAGAAGTGATGCTAGGAATACAGATGATAAAAGTGATGCTAGGAATACAGATGATAAAAGTGATGCTAGGAACACAGATGCTAAAGGTAATGCTACGCATACATCACAAATTTCATCAGTTAACGATCCATCTATGAAAGGAGCTGATGAAGAAACTTTTGTTTGGCCTTGGAAAGGAATTGTTGCTAATATTCCAGTAGAATATAGGGATGGAAGGTTTGTTGGTGAAAGTGGTCAAAAACTAAAAATGGAGTGGGTTGCCAAAGGGTATAATCCAATGAAGATTCATCCACTGTGGAGCAATAGGGGTCATTCAGGATATGCCATTGTTGATTTTAATTGTGATTTTTCTGGATTTGAAAATGCAATGGCATTTGCACGGGAGTTTGAACTGGATAAGCATGGTAAGCGGGAATGGTATTCAAGGAAGAAAGATGAGAAACTTTATGCATGGATTGCTGGCAAAGAAGACTACGATTCCAATAGTATCATTGGGAATTATCTAAGGAGAAATGGAGATTTGAGAACCATTTCTGAGATCCAAAATGAGAACAAAAGGAAAGATTCCCAACTATATTCCAACTTGACCAGTAAACTGGAGTCCAAGGACAAGATATGTGAAGAGATGGAGAAAAAGATAAGTAGAGCTGAAGTTAAAATGGGCAATGTGATGAAACAAAAAGAGGAGATGCTTGCAGAGTATAATAAAGGTACTTAAATTATGGTTGTTTTCGTATCACCTGAATTGCACATCTACTTGTGTTCTTTAAAAAAAAATATTTTGGTTATGCTAAGAGAAGGTGAAGAATACTTGCCTGTTTGAAATGCATCTATAACATTATAGTTCACTAACTTCTATTTTTCACTAGAGTTGAAGATGATGCAGCAGAAGGCATTGGAACAGCTGGAAACCATTTTGAGTGAGCATGAGAGAAGTAAACAACAATTAGATGATCAACGAGAACTGCTGAAACTGCGAGAAGATGAACTAAAACAGCGTGAAAAACTTAACGTCAATGAGAAAAGAAAGCTCGACCGTGAGAAAGAAATGGTATGTTCCACTTTAATTGGGTTTATGAAAGAGTTGTTGACAGTGGTCCTTGTAGCTGGACACCACCTGCTAGTGAGAAAGGGGATGTATGTAGATTTTTTTAGTTTGATAATCATGGTGCAGGGTTTTTTTTTCTCCCTCAAATGAACTCTATGTTTTAGGTGACCATGCTTGAAGTCATGTTCTTGTTCTATTTCAGAGAAGAAAAAAAACAAAATTAAATAACCTAGTTGAATGTTTGAAAGTAGGCTTTTCTGAAATGGAAATTTTTATTTTCCTCAGAATGAGAGGGCAATTCTGGCACAAAAGAAGTCTGATGAGACAATGATGAAACTGGCTGATGAACAGAAGGTAAGCTATTCCTCTTTTGCTTCAAGACTTGAACTGGAAGCAAATTCAATGGAATGCTGCTGGAAAGTTGGCAGTTATGGTAATGGCTTGCTTTTTATTTCAGAGAGAAAAGGAACAAGCGTTGGAGAAAATTATTGCACTGCAAAGAGAACTTGATCGGAAGCAAGCATTGGAGTTGGAGATAGAGAAGTTAAAAGGTTCCGTCGAAGTTAGGAGACACATGAATGAGGAAGGAGATTTGACAGCTAAAACTGAATTGGCATCAATTGAAGAAGAGCTGAAAAAAAAGCAAGAAGAACTTGGTGATATGGAAGACTTGAATAATGGACTTATTATAAAGCATCGACGTGACAATGATCAGGTGCAGGAAGCTCGCAAAGAGATGATCAATGTGAGCCTTCTAGACAATTTCTTTTTTGAAACCTATATAATACATTATTTTTCTATAAAAATATAATGGCATCATGCCATCATATAATTTCATTTTAACTGGTTGCTTTAACTGAAAAATGATTGGAGTTTTTGATGTTAGTTTTCAGTAATTTGATTGTGTATGGTTAATTCCCAAGTGGTTCTAAATGAAACTGATAGATACAAAGGTTATTACTCTAGGGGTATCATCTACTCCGCTAAATCATTTATAACTCAAAGCATGAAGTAAAAGTTAGTTCCCTGGTTATTCCTTACCCAATGTTATTCATTTTAATTAGTTGATGGTTAATTCAGCAAGCTCTATATTAAAGTGGAGTAGTATTTCTTTGTGCAATAAGTATTGAGATAGGTTATGTAGAGGGTTGAAGGGTTGGAGGTTTTGTCTGGATCCTTGAACCTCTGGTGCATAATTGCTTAATTATCTTTGTTGTTTATTTGGTGTCAAATAACAGACAATCAATGTCTGCTATACTTCCTAGCTATGCTGAGAAATCCAATGACTTTGGGCCAAAGACTTGAAGGCTTTTTTGGGATCCTTGAACATTTGATTTCAAATTACTTAATTATCTGCCTTGATTGATAAATATCTACAAAGCAGACAGCCAATGCTTGATATGCTATTGCTACAAATTCTCTGATAAGAGAACTCAGCTATGCAAGTAGAACTTCTAAAAATAGAGGGCCCTGTTTAGTATTGGAAAATAGCTTAAATTTACTGTTTGCATTCTTCCATAAATTTTCACTGTTTTCATGTTCCAAATGGAAAACAAATTCAATTCTTCAAATGGAAAATGGCCACCCAATTTCTTCCCTTTCAAGGCTGAATTCTCCATTCCATTCCTAATTGCCATACTCACCCCTTGTTGGTGCTGCTTTCCATACATGGTTAGTGGCTCTTCTCACCGATCCATCTCTCAACACTCCTTTCTCAATCAAAGATTTGCCTTTGCCTTTTTTGCTTCTTCTTCATCTAAATGACTTAGTTAAAATCAACAGCTTTTGCCAGTTCTATCCCAATGTTCACTTTGAAGTTATAGGTTATGGTTGCTTAAATTAAATGATTGGTATGTGTTGCAGATAATTTATGGCAAAAAAATGGAAGTATCCAGTTTATCTTAACATTCTTATGGTCTTTTCTATCTCTTTGGTTGAAAATAATATAATTGTTTTTAGCTTCCCGAACTATAAGTTCTGATCTGGTTTCTGTTATTGCATGCTTCTATAGAAACTAATGTTCCAAATTTTGGTTTTTTTATGATAGGGCTTGAAGGACTCTCGTGCCAACATTTGTGTCAAGAGAATGGGAGAACTTGATGAGAAGCCATTCATCCGTGCTGCAAAGCTAAAATATACAAAAGAAGAAGCACCAGAAAAAGCTTTAGAGCTGTGTTCCCTGTGGGACGATCACCTAAGGGATCCACACTGGTACCCAATTAAGGTTATCAAGAAAGGAGGAAAAGATGTGGGTATCTCTTTGAATATGTTGTTATTCTATCTATATCTCATGCACACCACACACACCGGTATTCACATGTACACTCTTTATGGAGCACTGGTAAGCAATACAACCTTCCCTCTTTCCACTCCTGCTAGCATTGAAACATAGGAGGGGAGAAAATTTACACCATTAAATGGACCATTTGGTAGATACACAAATTCAGTTCTTTAAACCCAAAGCACGAAGTTGTCATTCCTAATTTGTGTGATAATTCAAATTGGAACTTTCAGGTGTGGGTGATCAATGAAGAGGATGAGAAACTGGTGGGTCTGAAGAATGAGTGTGGTGAAGAAGTGTATAATGCTGTGACCACTGCACTGATGGAGTTGAATGAGTACAATTCCAGCGGCAGGTATCCAGTACCCGAGTTGTGGAATACTAAGGAGAAAAGAAGAGCGTTATTGAAGGAAGGAGCTGATCAAATACTAAAACAATTGAAGAGGCTTAAGAGTAGAAAGGGCTAGAACTTACAGATAAACACTAATCTCCCTTAGCGTTTTAACTCAAATTTGTTTAACTGTTTGGTAAAACTTACTCCATATTGACTCTTTTCACCATTAACTTCTTTTTATTTATTTTTAAAAGTATTTGCTTAAATGGAGCTACAATGTGTATTACCACTATGGCTACCAAGAGGATCATTCTTTCTATGTGATCACTTTACACTTGAAAGTAGGTTTTGCATATTTGGTTCAACTACCAACATGTTCAAACAATGGTATCCAAAGCCACCCAGTCTCTACTTTCTTTCCCACATTATAAGGCAGCATCCAAGGTTCTCTTTTTGTCCTGTGGATTGATGAAATCATTTCTTGCAAGAAACAATTTGTCTTTTAAAGGAGGGGCCCTATGACCACTCCAATTTGTCAACTTACTCCCATCACTTTTTCATTACAAATATTTCAGAAACATAACATATTGCTTGTTAAACAAATCAAACAAACATTAGTAAACAACACAGTCATATTTATATTAATATATAATTGTAGTACTAAAACTAGTTGATTCCCTGTAAATACGAACAGCTGCGGGCTACATTCTTGTGCAGTCACTTCAGCTGCTCTGTTGGGTCTAAATACACTTAATAAAATGGTCTAAAAGTTACCATCCGACCAAGCAAATTTTCAGCTTTCACAGTCCCCAACGCCCACTAAAACACGACAGCCAAACATACGAAGAAGAAGAAGACGTAAAAGAGGCCAAAAGGTCTGTGGCTACTTGTAGTTGTACCGAATATTAGATGGCGGGAAATTTGGAATATTATTATTGCGAGTTCAGACTCGGAAGTTTTTTCCGACGAAGGTTTGGCCGAAGTTCCAGTTGGAGGGGGCGATGTTCCAGGAGGTGGAGGAGCGGCGGTCGCTGCCTCTCACGCGGAAGGAGAGCGATTGGCCAATCAATTCGGCGTTTGTTTGCCAGTTTTGTCCCCAGTTCCGGCTCAACTCCATCCACCCGGTTTTTGACCCCTTCACGCTCGCCCTCACGATGTCCCCTGCTCCGCCCACGTTGGTGATCAAAATCAGGTTGAAGTATTGGTGGCCGTTGATTGTGAACCGGATTCCGCCTCTCTTCTTGCACGGCACTCTGCGGAGAATTATCACAAAACCCAGGGTCATTTTAGTAATTTCACCATGGACCACCGAAAAATATATTTATTTATTTATTTATTGATTTAAGACCCTCACCGGCGGTAAACGACGGGGACAATTCCGGCTCTATACTCGGCGATCTTGAGGAACATGGGCATGGCGAGGTCAAAATGCGAGCGGGGCGGGTTGCACCAGCCGCCATTGTCGTTGGGCAAAGCATAGTTAGGAGGGCAGAAATTGGTGGCCGTAATGAAGATAGACGGGCTGCCGGGAAAGCACGACTTATCCTTATCACACTTGATCTCAAAGCAGGCTCCACAGCTGAGGCCATTGTTGAACAGAGCCGTGCTCAAAGCCCCATTGTTCACCCCGTACCCTTGACTGTACAAATTCCCATACCCACACGCCCCACCTGCCAAAAAAAAAAAAAAAAAACTCAACAACTCAAACCAATGTAGCTTCGCCGCCGACCAAACAGGTCGCCGGAACTGAAATTACAGACATACCCATAGTGCCGGAGGCGTCACTGCCACCGTAAAACGTCGCATGAGCATTCTCCCACGAACCGCCGGTGTAAACCCCCGGGATTCTACCTTCCACTGATACTAACAGTGACAGAGACAAGACAAGAAAGGAAATGCAAACCACACTTAAAAACCCCATTTTTCCAATTTCACTGTCATAAACTGGAAAGAAGACAGAGAGATGGTGAGGAAGAAGGAGTGGAGGGAAGAGGAGTACTTATGGATGGGGGGAAGTGAGTGAAGGGCAGTGAGTGTAATTTTAGCAGCTACTGTAATGGAATGTAGAATTTGGTAGGACACTGTATCTAATACCATGTACGAATTGAAGTAGTTTGAATTCAAGTATTTCTGTTCTTTTATCCTTCATTTCATATTCACTTTAATAATTTATATACTCCGTATTATTTTTAGCAGAAAAGTCGTCTCAATTTTTTAGGAGATGCCTGATTACCAGGACCAAAACAAACAACAATTTGATCTTTTCCAAAATAAGCTGTTTCCTTTCCACATTACAACAAGCACTAATACCATCTAATGCTGCCTACAATCCGGCTTTCTTATAATATCACAATGTAAATTCCTTTATTAAATCATTTAATTAAAATTTGTTGAGATTGTAATTTTGGGTGAAAGATTAGAAGTGTTTTTCTGGGCTCTTTTTACCGATTACGTTCTACGTATCACTGTCCGTATTTCTCTTGTACGCTCTCCCTTTTCGCTTACAATGGCTTCATCAATTGTTGGGTTTCCTAACGCGGTTAGCGTTTAATATGTTTATACATTGAGAATTATTTTGGATTGTCTAAAAGTTACGTTGTTGGAGTGGGGTGTGCATTTCAGAATCACGTACGTTGTGTGCGTATCTGTTTGGACGGTATAGGATGGACGGGTTGTTTTGTGCATTTTAAGGGGTCACGGTCTGTGCGATTTATGGATGGTGCATAGAATTCTATCGCGAATAAAATCGTTTTCCCGCAAAATCTTCTTCGTAGAATCCCTATAAAAGTGTAACTCTTCCCTATAAAAATTTTAAAATTCTATTTTCTCCATCACAGATAATTCTATTAACTTAGGTAAATCATACATCCTGTAAAAATACTTCATTGATAAGATATTTGACATTAAGGCATTTTGAAATCATACCCGAATTTTATAAATAAATGTAAGGAGTGAACACATGCATTAGTAGTCAATGATGAGAAAAGTTGTGTTTCGCACATTAGAATAGAATTTGCTTTTTTCTCCAAAAAAAAAAAAAAAAAAAAAAAAAAGAATAGAATTTGCTTTGTTGGGCATGTGAACATTAATAGCGATGTGGAAGCGTGGGTTTTAATGTTTGATTATTAGAGGAAAATTAGTACTAATTACGAATTCCAATGAATTTTAGAAACGACAACTCTTGTTGGTTGTAAGAGGAAATGAAATTCATAGTGAGCATCAAAGTGTGTTCAGACTGAATCTTCAGTATTTTGTCTGTGAATGTTGTTAATATTTTACTCCGTAGTTTAAAAATGCTATTCAAAAATACTTTTTTGTTATATTTTCATATACTTTTTTTTGCTATTCATATAATTATTTTCGTATAATTAGTAACAGAACATATCATCGAATCCCATGAGAAATACATTGTTGCAGTTGAAGGCTAGCATGTGTTAAACAATTGTTGTTATATGTTTAGCTGTGTTATGCTATCTTTATCTCTGCAATACTTTTTCATTTTTAAAAGTAGATTATAATTTTTTTTAAATAGTAAATTATACTTTTATATCATTAAATTTGCAATTCAAGCAATTCTTTCAAATTTGATAAATCTAGCTTTAGAATTTTATTTTTTTTTTTATTTTTTTTTTCACTTCAAGCAATTCTTTCAAATTTGACTTTTACTATTTTTGGCATCTTTTAGGGTGTGTTTGGTTCATGGATTTAGCTATTAGGAATGGAAATCAAAATCATTGTTATTGTTTGGTTGACAGGTTTCTAGAACACTAATATGAGATTTGATTACCCCCTTAATTAGAAAATCTATTCACTAATAAAATAAAGAGTTTCATTCCATTATCCCTCATAATTGGTAATTTGATTTTTAAGTTTGCATTAGTGCTTTTAGATTTTTGTTATTATTTTTTTTGTTCATATTGGTGTTTTAGATGTCTTTATATTATAATAAATTGTTTTGATTTTGTGTTCTTGTATTTCTAAAACTTTTATTCTCATTATAGTATTATACATAAACAAACAGCAATATTGATAATCATTTCAATTCCACCCTCCTACCAAACATGCAAAATACTTTCACCAAAACACATTAACATTACCAAGTATTTGATTCATATTTCAATTCCGATTCTGATTCCTATGTGCGAACCAAACACACCCTTAAAGTTACTTTTTGAATTTTGTATTTTTATAATAATTTTTAATAAAATTATTAATATTATTATATTTTATTTTAAAAATAAGTTGAAATTTCATGAAGATAGAGAAAATAGTATTGAATTGTAAATATTATGATATGATAGTAGAGTCCATGTTTGAAAGTGTAAGATAATTTTATAATAAAAATATTGAGCATAAATGTGCAGTGCAATCAGACTATTAACTTAAGTTCTTAGTTGAAATGGTACACATGCTTTAATTTGGTATCAGAACTTATCTCGTATCCAATAAATGAAACTCGTTGTTGGTTTAACGGCCATGGGGTAGTCGGACGACGAGTCAACACAATCGTAAAACAAAAGGAAAAATTAAGAGAGAAAGTTGACAGAATAATTGTACTAGAATATAATTCAAACCCTATTACCATGTTCCCTAGTTGGTATTTATACAAGATTTATATACTTTGAAAAGGAAAGAAATAATAAATTAACAAATTAGGACTAGGAAAGCTTCCAAATTGCCTTGCCTCTTTCCTAATGTTGAAAAGGAAATCCCATGCAAAATCTGGTGGAGATCTCCGAGAAATCTCCTTTAACTGCCCCTGAGTATTGCACCCGGTAGGCGTTTCAACCGACTACCTCCGCTGACCATCCACCCGGGCCTACCGAATGGGTTGTATGTCTCGATGAGGATCATGCTACTGGGTTCTTCCAACCCTTTGAAAACATAGTTAAATTGTGAATCCTGATAACTGATGTATATTCTTGATTGGGTATCCTATTCGGGATATCGTAAAAAAAGTGGAGTGTATTATAAAGTGCAACAAATATACTTGTTGGTGGGTCCAAGTAGATGGGTGTATCGGTGTATGTATGTATGTTGGTATGCAAAACAATAAAAATAATCTTTTCAAAAAAACAAAATTGAATGGGGGGGGGGGGGGGAAGCGATACGGGGGTGGGTGTGGAGCCCACACCCCATGTCAAATCAGCGCAATTAACGGTCAAGTAGTGCACAACAACCCGTATGGAGGTGGCCTTTAGGCTTTAACTGTCCCCGGCCCCGCTACCGCACGCATCTCTCGAGCCGCACCCACTCTTCTATCTTCTCTACGGAGTATTATACCTTTTACTCAGTATTTTTATGAAAAAGAAAAAACAAAGAATACGGTTAAATTAGTTATTGAACTTTACACAAAAAATTTAATTAGGTTATTTAATTATTGGTAAAACAAAGAATACGGGTTAAATTAGTTAACAATACAATTGGTAAAATTATATCCATTTCTATGCAAGAAACTCATATTTATATTACGGTCACAATCTCTTGTGAAATACAAAGTGTCACGAATTATAATCATAAGCTATGGACTCTTAGAAAATAGAAACACCTCGTTGGTCGAGCTATGACGACAATCTAAAAATATTTATTTAGAATTGAAAATGAATTGAACTTAAATTTCATAGAAAATAAATTATATGGAATATTAGTTTTATTGTTTGGTTAGTGGGAACTTACTATTGCTATGATGCTGTCAAACATGCTTATCAGACTTGGACCAGTAAGCTGGATATTTATCCGTAGAATTGGGGTTATTAGGTTAGTCTCGTGCCTAATATTTCATCACAAATTACATTTAATTTGTCGATATGCCATTTTTTGCTTTTAATAAAAACTAAAAATGATATAAAAAAAAAAAAAAAAGTTAAGAGGATAAATATAATTCATTTTCATCTCAAAATTTCAAAAAGCAAAAGTAATAAACACAAAATTTGAATTTAACTCAATTTTTCGTTTGACCCGGGAAAAATTAATAATGACACAATTAATATTTATTTAACTGTCATCATTGCGGTAAATGGAATTTCACTGTTTTAGAGAGAAAAAAACAATAATAATGCTGTTTATTTATCCTTAATTATTCTGTCTTTGGGGACCGAATAAATGAAAAAGAACAACTTTTTCCCCGACCAGAATGTTTGTAGGCGTCGGTCTTTTACTTACATCGCCGATTTCGTTGCCCACATTTATTTTGGGTGCCGGAAATATTCGGATTACTTCTCAAAAATTGCATTAAATAAATTTCACTAGTTAACAAGTCATATAAAAAAATTAAATGGTATTAAAAAATGTAGTGTGATGACACGACTAAAACAATAATCAAACGTATAATTAAGATTTACGATAGTTATGTTTCATCCACTCATAGGGTGTGTTTGGTTGAGAACTTCTGCACCCTACTATGAATTTTGATACTATTTGTTTATTTGTTTAGAGCACTATTGACTCTATTAGAATATAGTGTTTGTACTTTCAGAACGTACTGAAGCAGAAGGGCCACAGTTATACCGCTCGATCACAAAGTCTTTGAGATTTTAAATCTTATTTAGTATCAAACAAAGTGGTTCATTCTACTTAAAACACATTATCATTACTATTCTGATTTTAATATTTGAACAAAAAACACTTATAATAATATTTCAAATTTCCCTCGCTCTTTGCTTTTACGAGAGCTTGGGTTTAAAATTTGAGATGTTCATTAATGAGGTGAGTAAAGTGAGATCATGCGAAATGTGTAATGAAGAACAAGTTTCACACTCCGTACACATTTCACATGAATCCAATGATGGGTGCTACTCCTTAAAGCAAACCCCCTACCCCTCTTCTTTTTTTCTTTTTTCTTCTCCCAATATTGTGCGTCGTATAATCGTGCTATTAGTAAAATTGTATCTCTAACTTTGTTATAATCTTATCAAATATACTCAGTTTAAAGAGTGAGCATAGATAAGTTAATGCCTAGGGAAAAAAATGTTACAACGTTACAAATAATTGTGGCAAGTTGAATGTTTTTTAATATTTAATAATCAAAATTAACGTTTTTTTTTTTGTCACTTTAAAGACCTTCCATAATGAATCGGAACAACCTAAGTCGGGAGTAAAAAATTAAA